GTTGATGTCTGGGAGATTTATTTGTAGAATTTTGAAGTGGAGTCCTGGTTTCCAGTTTGTCAAAAGCTTTTGCTGTCACGACATACAATATTGCATTGCTGTCTCTTTTTTTGGAATATTGCATGGTTTCATATACGGAAGTTATATCCTGTTGTGCCTCTTCTTTTCCTGAATCCATACTGATATTGGTTAAATAGACGATTGTTTTCCATGTGTATTTTCGTTGTCATTTTTATTATTTATTTATTTTTGAAGATCCTACCAGTTTTTTTCTAATAGGGATTTTAATTTTAATCTTTTTCTGGGGTCTTTTCCTGCTTTGGTTATTAATACCATTATGGCATTTTAAGATTTTGTTGGAAAATAGCCCATTGAAAGAGCCCAGATGAAAATTGTTTTCCGTTCTGCAATGGCAACATTTGGAGATGCTGCATTAGTCTTTCTTACACCACTTTGGCCGGGGGCTTTACCCTTAATGTTTTTGATTATAGACGATATCTCATGTTGTGATGGGTCTTGTGAGAGGGTTATCGTTTATTAAGTTTGATTGCTTGTGTTTCTCTCTAGAAGAGAAGTCTGTGTCTATTATTTAAGAGGTAATCTTGCACCATAACTTCGTGCTGCATATCAACGTTGCGGTTATTTTCAACGTTGATTTTAAAAACTTTCCAGAATCTTCGGAAAAAAAACCTCTTGATCGTCCGATATTTTCTCGGTGTTTAAAATGTAAGGTGTTTCTTTACGGTTTCTTCCCTTTAGTCGTTTTACTTTTTTCCACAATTTTTTAGGGTTATTATAGTCTATTTCTTGATGTCTATTTATCCTTGATAAGTTGGTCATCAAAGACATCTTGGAGGTATATGTATTTAATGATATTTGAATGTATTAATTTTACTAGATCATTGTGTGTAGTTTGTTTAGGGATGTATCCAATGCTTTCTTCTCTTGTCCTGTCTTATCTCTGACAATCTATGTAATTTGACCTCTTTAGCCTTTGCAACATCCGGTCTCTCTTGACGGTCCTCTTGATTTTGTTGATGTTGATGCTGGTCGATTGGTGGCGGTAAACGGTATTCCTCTTCGATGAGAGGATTTCCTCCTGTTGTGCGTTAATATGTTGCAAACTTTTTCGTTCTTGATAACGTTTCTTGGGTTGGAGTAGTCTCCCTTTCCTCGTTATTTCCTTCTTCGTGTTCCATCATAGTTTCGTCTCGATTTGCCATTGTTGGTACAGTGTTATTTGTATTTATTAGTACACCCAGTGTTTCAGTTGCATGCACTTGGTCAGGGAATCCGACCCCTGGCAGATTATTTAAGGAGTACATCTTATCGATTGTTTTCTGGAAACTGCCTGATTCTCTGACTTCCTGAGTATATGCAAATAATGACACATTATGCAAGCAGCTGCGTTCGGTGGGAGAGAACATAGCATTGTTTCCGCGTTGAAGGAGGTAGTTACTCTGCTTCTTGCTCCATTATAACTGGTTGTTGCTTCTGCTACCCCTGCGTAGGCTGTTTGACGGGATATGTCAGCAGTGATCTGTCTTCTCTGTTTGCCTTTGCTCTTCAGTTCGTTCTTTGATTATTGTTTTCTGTGTCAGGCATTTTGCGGCAAGTGTTCGGTGGTTACCGTTGCAGTTTAGGCATTGCTCTGTGTTTTCCCTGCAATCCTTGTATGTGTGATCTTTGAAGGCACATTTGGAACAAGCTTTGTAAGTGCCATTCTCTACAATCTTTGACTAGGTGATCGTTTTCATAGCATCTGTAACATGGTGCAAGGTTGATAAAGATGTCCCTTTCAACGAATCTGGGAGGCATAGATTAGAATAGTATTAAAATTCCATTTCTAATTATCGTTTTGCCAGTTGGGTAGTTTCAAATGTTATTTTTAAGATAGTATGTGCATTAGGTATTTTGATCACCTGCTTTATCTTTACCCGTGCACTTTCATTTTCTATGCTCTCCTTAATTTTTTTCTTCACTGAACTCGGTGATTTGCTTGTCAACGTTCCTTATTACGATCGTTCTCATGACATTATATTCAGGTGGGTCCTGAATCTCGAAATGATGGTTAAGGAAGATGGAAGAAGCACTCCTTAGACATCATCATCTCGATTGTTTGGTCGTTAGCGATCACAAAGTAGGCATTTTTGTAATCATCCATTTCAGAAACAGTTATTTTTTATTGTTCTATGCATTGAGACAGTTATGCTCTCTTATTTGAATTAGCAGGTTTTTTATCTTTAATTCCGATTCTTGCCATTGTGAATCAGTTGAGAGTTGTGATGGCAGTTGCCTTACGGTTGTTTGGCTTAGCTTCACTTGCCCACTAGGCCAGTGCTGCCTCGGTTGTTTGCGGGCAGTTTGGCAATTAGCCTTCCGTGTAAGCTCGCCGTTTCTATACAATGTATTATGCCATCTTATGTAGGATGGCAAATTGATTCAATTTCCTAGCTATGCCGGCACTGAACAGGAGTCATGATCCGGGACGATGACGGCGACCATACACCTGCGAAGGAGTGTTCAGACCACAACGACTGCCTAGAATGCAAGGCAAGGTCCGAGTATCCTGAGCGTTTTGTATCCATACTCATCATAGGCGTAGGAAAAGGGGGGTGTACTGGACGTTAGGTACCCACCCCCCACTGTGATAGAAGTCCAGACCAAGCGTAATTCAACTGACATTGAAGACAACATTGATAAATGGGGAATAAAGCGTTTGAATTTCTCTGTGACTTACATTTATCTTTACTCCATGTGTTTCTGAGGTATCAAAATGCGGATAGATAAATAAACACAGAACTACAGTGTCACAGACAGGACAAAACATTCGAATTTGTATACATTTTGATAGACAGCAAGGGATCCTTCGAATACAGCTCCACAACTAAAATATTTCCGTTTCATTTTGTCTTTCATAAACATGATGTTCATGACATATGATAAATAATGATGATGATAATGACAATAATGATAATAATGATAACAATAAAAAATTATAGTAAATGATAATAAAAATATGACAGTAACTGCTATAACTAATAATTCATTATTATTATTACTGGAAGCACTTGGGCAGGCCAAGATGACTTTCATTATTTCTGGTCGATGACATTACTATCATTATATCATTATTTTTTTAAGTTTAAGTATGAATGTTTTTTTTCCAGTACCAGTTTGCATCCTAAGATTTATCAGATAAAAAAAAATCATATCGATATCAAATAACGAAATGTAGCAAGAATTGTCGACGTAAGTAGTGAATCAATACAATATGAATGTACGATTTTTGTTATGATCACTGTCGTACTGTCATTGCTATTAGCATTGTTGCTATAATAATCGTTATCATTATCATTTTACTGCCATCGCCATCACTGTTATTATTATTGCTATCATGGTAAATTTACGGTGGAAGACAGTCAGATTTGTTGAAAACATGCAAGGCCTGACCCAGTAATACGGATATGCATATACACAAAAATGAGTGCATATCTACTGGACAGATAGATGAATGTGCATGTATCAGGTACAGATAAATACGTGTCCATATATGAGCATATTTATTGGGTAGGGTCTTGCACAGTTTTGACAACCTTGGCATTTGATATAACCTGAGACACTTTTCATCTATGGCAAAAGGTGCGCAAATCGAGCACGAACAAATGAGAAGGCTGGATTGTCACAATCGAATAACCGTTATTATTATTGCTATTATTATTCATATTAGGATTAGTATTGTTACCATTGTCATTATTATCATTGTCATTTTCATATCGTTATTGCTATCATTAATATTATTATCATTATCATATTGTTATTATTATCATTATTGTTATTATTATCATTATTGTTATTGTTATCAATATTATTATTATTATTATTATTATTATTATTATTATTATTATTATTATTATTATTATTATTATATTATTATTATATTTATTATTATTATTATATTATTATTATTATTATTATTATTATTATTATTATTATTATTATTATTATTATTATTATTATTATTATTATTGTTATTATTATATTATTATATTATTATTATTATTATTATTATTATTATTATTATTATTATTATTATTATTATTATTATTATTATTTATTATTATTATTTATTATTATATTATTTATATTATTATTATTATTATTATTATTATTATTATTATATATTATTATTATTATTATTATATTATTATTATTATTTATTATTGTTATTGTTATTGTTATTATTATTATTATTATTATTATTATTATTATTATTATTATTATTATTATTATTATTGTTTTGTTATTGTTATTGTTATTGTTATTGTTATTATTATTATTATTATTATTATTATTATTATTATTATTATTATTATTATTATATTATTTCATTATCATTATCATTATTATTATTATTATTATATTATTATTATATTATTATTATTATTATTATTATTATTATTATTTATTATTATTATTATTATGCATATCATTATCATTATCATTATCATTATCATTATCATTATTATTATCATTATTATTATTATATTATTATTATTATTATTATTATTATTATTATTGTTATTATTATTATTATTATTATTATTATTATTATTATTATTATTATTATATTATTATTATTATTATTATTATATTATTATTATTATTATTATTATTATTTTATTATTATTATTATTATTATTATTATTATTATCATATCATATTATCATTATCATTATCATTTATCATTATCATTATCATTATCATATATTATTATTATTATATTATTATATTATTTTATTATTATTATTATATTATCATTATTATTATCATTATCATTATCATTATCATTATTATTATTATTATTATTATTATCATCATCATCATCATTATTTTTATTATCATTGTTGTCATTATCAATTCTTTGTTTATGTAATCTGCTTCATTGTTAAATCACTATCTGCTGTATAAAGTACAAAACAACCTATACTGTCGTAGTCCCTGCGCTTAATGTAAACAATTTGATGACAAGTATAGTATCGTGAAGGGAAAGAGGATTCAGGGGATATAGAAACTGCAAGAAAGGATCCAGGGAATATAGACTAAAAAATGGTCTAAAACCCTATAAAAGAAGAAAGAAGAAGAAGAAGGGGATATAGACAACATAGCCTAAACCCTATAACAAGAAAGAAGAAGAAGAAGGAGGTAAAGCATTTATAGCTTGTAATTTCTTGCATACATACGTACAAACAGTATATGTAGACATAGTATATATATATATATATATATATATATATATATATATATATATATATATATATATATATAAACATAACAACAAGTATATATAAGTATATGTAATTCTGTAAAAGAAAATAAAACGTGTTTTGCCAATAGAAACGAAACACCCGTGGAGTACTTGTGGATATCGATCTCAGCTATCCACTGGTAATAGTTTGATTCCATGGAAGCCAGCCATAAAGATGTTCTTGGCCGAGAGACACTTGGGACACCTTAGAGGAGAGACAGACTGGCATCAAGCGCCGTAAGCCAATCACCTGGAGCCAGTCCGGCTCTCTGTAAAGGGTGGCCTAAGTTTCTCAGAATATGAGCATAATTCCTTAAGAGGACAGTTCCAGATGGGGGGAGGACATGGGGTTGAGTTAGCAAGCATATTGAGTAGATACATGGATGAGGAAAGTACCAAATGACTATTAAAGCCCTGCTGTGGCTCGTCTTGTAGCCGACTTGAGACTCGCTAAACACCTGGGCAGGTGCATCACTAATGAGCGCCCAGGGGCATCAATAGGCATCTTTTCCAGCGGTTACGCGAAACGCGACACCTCTTGCGCGACAGGAATCGAGCAGACAGTTAGCTTTGAATGAGTTGCCAGATGCATTCCTCCTACTTCGGATATTTCATGCATATTCATGCTTATATTGGGTATCTATAACACTGCACTACCCACCATAAGATATCAAAAGCCATCTTGGATATTATATTCCAAAATACTGTTTACCTGTTGGAAAAATAACCAGTACAGTAAAATAGCAAGCTGTCAACCGCGAGCATTCCCATTAAGTCGCAGAAATGGGCGGAGCTTAGAGGCCTGTCTCGCCTCCGATCACGAGACACTTTGTGTCTTGTAATAGGTGTCGTGGAGCGTTTCGCGACACCCTAATTGCCACTGGAAAAGATGCCTTATGTGGACTTCTGCTTGTTGCAGTCGTACACATACCATTTGATTATGACATTACACATAAATATGAGTTTGTGAATCTTCAAGGAACACTTTTATACCAATATCAGAAAAAAAAAATTATATCCGTGATTTATGACGATATATTTTGTGAAATATAACAAAAGAAAAAGAAGTAAGTTTTGAGTCCTTTTACACACAAACTATGCTTCCATCGAGACTCCCCAGTAATATGTTGTAGGTTATGAAGTAATCCGTAGGTTTATCACATACGAAGCACTAATGTTTGAAAATAGCCTTATAAGTAAGGATTGAAGTATTTCTGTTACATTTTGCTCAATGGTTGGTACATCACAGCATGGGTAAATTTGATTTGATATGAAATTGGTCGTTACTGTTGTAAAGGCCGAATCATACATTAAAGCAATATCACACACTTTGCATGTGAATTTGTAAGTTCCAATATCTAGTTGTTCAAGGGGGTCCAGCATAGGTATTATATGTCTTGATAGCTTTTTAAGAACTAGATTTAAAATTATTATTTGATGTCTATCACCTATGTAAATGTAGCATTTTTGTCCCTTGAGTTGAAAGTAATATGATTTTAGAATTTGTTCTTACTGCATCATTCAACATATTGCATGCATATATTGATATATAATTTGCAATGCAATGTGGGTACATGCCAAATTATATGTGCATGCACATCTGGTGCTCAAGTGCACAATTTAGTTCAGCTCAATCACTTCACTTGTACAGCAGACAAAGTTAGCAAACTGGACTGAAACTATACCTTAAAAAGTATGTCACTTTAATGAGTTTGCTATATAATTATCTGTGAGAATTAAAGGGTAGTACTTTAGATAAAGTTTTCAGTTAACCATAGCTTTATGGTAATGGAGAGAATAACTGAAAATAAGACACTACATGTAATTGTTCAAAAATCGTTTGCACTCCTGCTGGATTCACTAACATATGATCGTAACGCATTTACCAGCGGTCATTTACCATTGCGTTTACCAGTCATGGCAAAGTGGTATTCATGAAGAAATGGTAATTTGGATATGCGGAGTTACAATCGTAAATCGACTCATTCTAATGGTAGCCAACAGAGGGCTCTGGTAAAGCAATTCCACCAATCACCGAGGGCCATACATAATATTTTGGGTTCCTTCGGCCAGTCACGTAACATGTAAACAGAACTAAACGCAGCGAGATTGTTTAAATAATCGTCAGAGCTAAAACACTATTTAAGCACAAGTAGAAAAAAATATATATTTATTTGATTACATCCATCATGTTGGATATATACTTACTGTATAGATACAAATCAATACAAACACAGTTATATTAATATATTATTGATAACTCAAACCAAAGAGACAGTCCAAACAGCATTTTAATTATATATTTTTCAATATTGCCAGTTTATATATAAGCAAGGTAGTTTTTTCTATAGCATTTGTAATAATTATGTCAGAGATTTGTTTTAAAAAGTTCACTTATTTATCGGTTCCATGCATTCTAGTATAATGTAGGCCTGTAAGTTTACGAGAATTTGTGTGGATTTTATTCTTGCTAGTTTCATGTGAAATTTGCATTTCTTCACTATGTCCGCATTGTGATATCTGTTTGCCATCATATTAGTTATATCAGGTGTAAAAACAAACCTAAAACTTTGCATAGATATTGATTTTTTGACAAGATAATATGTGATGACATCGTCTTCCCAGAAGTTACCAGTGCTCTGACCACTGGTAAAATTTACCATGGTAACTCCAATGGCAAGTTGTTAGTGAATACCACCACTGTCTGTTTACCATGGTAACTATAGTTACCAGTGATTTTGCCATCGTAAGTGCGTTAGTGAATCCGGGCCCTGGTTTGAATATTTTGGTATGGATGGATTCCTCTCACTCTCTAGCACACATGTTTAGGGATTATGCCGCAGAACCCCCCCAAACCTCTGCATTCTCAGCCCCAAAAGCTGGGAAAGGCATGAAAGGTACCAGGGACATTGCAGAGTGAAATGACAATAATAACATAAAAATATATAGATAATAACTTACTTAACTGTTGAATACAGGGGGCTGTGCCCCCTATGACTGCCCCTGAGAATCTGCCACCCTGCAGCCCCTGTTTTAGATGACAAATACTCCTCTTCGGCTGGATTGAGTGTATAACTTACATGTGGAACAAACACAGCAAGTTAGGAATTAAATGTAAATAACCTGCTTGCTAGTTACCAATGAGATGTGACGATGCTCAGTGAGGAGGGTGATGGAGGCATGGGATGCTCGTTTGCTTTATCCTGCTGTAAATTATTCTTTGTTTACTATTACTATAGTTATGTATTTACTGTATTCTATTCATATTTTACCCTGCAATTCCCCAGGCACCTTTCATGCCTTCCCCTGTTATCAAGGCAGAGTTTGTGGGTAATGGGGGATTTTTGCCTTCACCAAGGAGGTGGTGTTTTTGGTTGTGTTAGTTAGTTTTTTAGTGTGTTCGTATGTTGGTTGGTTAGCAGGATAACTCAAAGTTATGAATAGGTTTTCATGTGTGTCTTAGCCTAACAGATGCCATTAAATTTTGGTGGTGATCAGGATCATGATCCGGATCCAGGAGTTTGTTAATGATTGTATGAATTACCCCTATTGCAAATGCAACAGATTTTTATGAAATTTTTACCGGATGTATGTCTTAGCCTAACTTATAGTCCATTAAATTTTGGTGATGATCTGGATCGTCATCCAGATCCAAGAAATTTTTGGATGATTGCATCAGTTACCCCTATTACCATGCCTCTTCAAAGGAGGTTATGTTTATGGATGTCACCATTGCAATTGAGAAAGGTGATTTTAATGCAGTTCTTCAAGTGTGAACAATTTTGTTGCATCAGTGACCCTGTTGCTTTGGCTGACATATGTGCTTTTTGAGTGTTTCGTGTTGCTGCATAGTTTTTATGCAGTTGGATAGTTGAAGGTAAGAGGAATCCTCTGATACCAAAATTGTTGAGATCAGTTATGGGAAGTTATTCTCAATATTTAACCATAAAAAGAAAGTTATGCAACATGTGAGAAAGGGAAAAATAATTGCAAGAATGGATGGATGTGGAAGAGTGTGAAACAAAAAAAATTACCATGGTGTACAACAGAGCTGCCATTGTCATAGAATAAGTCCTCATTTTGAACAACCAAATGAATGAATCCCATCCTAATGCACAAACTACCACAAAGATTGCCATTTGAATCCAAAACCATATAAGGCCTTGCCCCATACTACCTACCAATAATTATAATTTCCAAGCTGGGGGCCCTGCCCTCAGACCTCTGCTGAACTTTGTTTCTCCTTAGCCGGTACTGTCCTTTTGTATGCTTTAATTGTCTAGTAATGCAAAACCAGTGTACTTACTGCAGTAGTGTAATGAGTTTTTTGTTTAATGTAGCATTTGAAACTGCACTGGAAACATGATGGGTGGCAGAAAAATTCAGTTGCATTAAGATATTTAGATGCTCATTATAGGTTCACTGTGTG